TTTGCATCATATGCTTTAATTCTATGTAAGTTTAAATATTTTCGCCTTGAAAAAACAGTTGCGTTAAATTTTGAAGAAAAATTAAAGCTTTTGAAATTTCACATGCATGCCTGAGATTTTTCTTTGCAAAGTAATGAAAATACAGTAAGCAGAGTGTGAAGAAAATATGTTTTCAAGAACCAACAATAAATAAGATAGACATCAATACAATCTAAATATAACGTAAAAGTGAACCTGATCTTGTTTATGGTCCATTCTCACAGCAGTACACGGAACAACATCCCCTTGGCTCACAACAAAGCTTCCTTCTAGTACCGTTTCGAAAACATCAGTTTTCAGCGCTAAAATCGATCAACATTATCTTCTTCTTTGCCTTGACTGGTCTTTTCTAGCGCTATTTCTGGCCAATGACAGAGATTAATCCTCTCCCCTGTTGGCAGAGAAACTAGGGTAGGCTTGGTGCCCAAAATTGGAGCAAAAGATGCTGAATCATTACCATGGAAACCAGAGACTACTGGTGGGAATGAAATAAGAGGTGGTCGTTGGGAATCATCAAGATGGCCATGTCAACTGGTGTGAAAGGTTTCCTTTTTTACTCATCGCCCTGAACTTCCTTTATTGAGAATCAAAGCACTGCGGGTAAATAGAAGAGGAAGAGTGAATTAGATTTGCTCCTCCCCAGAGGAGTTTTGTTAACCAACACAGGAATGGGGAAGGGAAATTCCCCTCTTCTTATCATCCTAAATCATTTCCTTGTTGGGATATCATGGTCTGAATAAGAATAGGAGGGGGATACTGCACATTTAGATGTAAATTAAAGGATCTGTCATTTGTAATCCTAATTTGTTTATACAGGTTGTTATTGCAAACAGTACATGGAGCTGTTTCCATTTCCTGAACTCTTTGCTACTCTTTCTTGCTTTATTTCTTTCTTTCTGTTTTTTTTCTTTTCATTCCTTCCTTTTCTTCTTCTTCTTCTTCAAAAAAAAAATCTGTTTCTTTCAATCTTTCTTCCAGTGGGTAAATAGAGGAGGAGTGAATTGGATTTGCCCCCCCCCCCCCCTTCCTAAGGAGTTTTCCCTATCATTTTTTCTATCTTTCTCTCTCTCTCTCTTTTCTGTCACTTTTCCTCACTTTCAATATGACTGTTTCAGAAAATCTGTTAATACAATTCTGCTACAACTGTCTTCCTGCGTATCATTTTCTACCTGTATGTCACTGTGTTTTCCTTCCATGGCCCCTCTTTAACAATCACCTGCCTTGGATATCAAATGGGCAGCATTGGAGAGTAATGAAATAATGTCAACCTAGAATGCCCTCCGAATCTAGACTTGGGGGTATGAAAGGACAATTTGGATAATAAACAAGCTAATAGTGTGCAAGGGTAAAATAGATTGCCAGGGGAGAAAGCACTAGAACTGCCAATTTGAACATTTTCTGTTGATGACCACTGTCATTATGTACAGGTAAGTATATTTTTAAATTGCTAAATGAATTATCCTCATTTTTGGATAGGTTATTTTGTACCAGCCAGTTAATTAGCCTCATATTTTATTCCATGGCTCCTCTCTCTCCATCTCACCTTTACCACAAGTTTCTCCTGTTCTCACCATCTCTTTCCCTCCCATTTTCCTTTTTTCCCTCTATCTGTCCTTCTGTCCATCACTCTTCTTCTTCCTCTTTTACTTCACCCCTTTTTTCTCTCTCGCTATCTCACTTTTTTTTCCCTCTCATATTTCAATCCTTTTCATTCGTGAACATATTATTCTACCTTAATAGTCATATCTTTCTTCTTTCCTCTCTCCTTCTGCATTTAATTTTGTTTTCCTCTCTCGTATGTACAGTTTGAGGCAAAAGATAAAAAGCATCATTCAATGACTGTTACAGACACAATTTTCCTCTACTTTGTTATGACTTGTCAGGTACATGCATTCCATCCCCTTAATTCTTCTTTCATTATGATTATTTGAAATATACTTAAGATGTTCTTAATCATGGTACTATCAAAGTTTAATACCATTTCCGTTCTCACAATTAAGTTCAATACTCAAGCTAGACATGGCTCGTTTAATTTAGTTGATTGTGAAAGCTTAGGTAGACCATGAATCCAACTATTGCCAAAGGAAAATCTGACGTATTTAGGGAAATATTCTATTAATTAGTCATCTGGGACTAAATGACTTAATTAAGGTATAGGATTGAAGAAAACAACTGATAAATGGGCTATTGGGTCTTATACTTAGAATCACCCTGAATTCTCAATCCATATTTATTCTTCTTTATTTTGCTTTCACTCTCATATTAGTTATATTGCTCCTCCACCCCTTCTCTCTCTCTCTCTCTTTATCTCTGTTTCTCATCTGCCACTTACATGTAGAGTTTTTGGTGTTTAATGCTACATGTTCTGAATTCTATTCACTTATTTCTTTTAAAATATTCTTACTAACATGATAAAAATAAGTAATCCTACTATCAGGAGAGTATTCCTCTGAGATTAATCAATTAAGGCCATTGACATAATTAGCCTTTATAAATATCTATAATGAGCTTGTGCATCGAGCAATTATGTTTATGATTACTTTCCTAGCAGGTGAGGGAACAAAATAGCCCATCTTTTATTGATTGTTATGTCACAGCTGTGAATTATTTTTCAAGATGAGGCAGGTATTTGGAGTGCAAAGTATGTGGGAGAGACAGATCATCGTCTATCACATTCGTCACCGCGAATGTTCTTGCCTCTCCAAACCTATAAGAGTTTTCAATTATGCGCAACACCTTCCTCCCTGCAGATCATCTCCCAGGGTGCATCAGTCGATCATCGCCAATATTTGCTGAGGGTAACATGACATGCTTCTTTTCAAACACGTCATGCTGGGGAGTTTCTCAAGCAAGGCTCATTGTGTTAGCGGCATAGTACATAGGCATTCTGTGGGAGGGTCGGAAAGGAAGTAAATATTCCTTGTCCAGTGTGGCTCATAAGGGTTGATATCTGGCGAAATGAAGAGGCACTTGTGACGGGAGGCATTGGTTACCCTCTAACTTTACACAGCCCTCTCCACCCAGTATTCAAGCTAACTGCTTTATGTGACCCCCCCGAAGGATTGGTCATCGCCGCTGTGACGAGGATGTCGCAGCTGCTCAAAGAGTTGCCCGACCCCACAGTCACAGGCTAGCGGAAGTATGAGCTTAAATCAAGATTAACTTCAGCTCCCCGTTTACAATACAAGCCCTTCTCAGCAAACATTCTTATAGAATATGAAAGTACAGGCAGTGAAAGAGCAAGGAAATTTGCTTGTTTGCAATTCTTGAAGATTAGGGAATAGGGGAATGGAAGCAATATTAAGTTCTGAAACTGAATTATACATACATAATATTTATGCATGATCACACTTCTGACTTTAAGCATGTTCATTGATGAATTTAAGTAAGGATTAAAGGCTTACAGTCTTTGATATATTTCTACTGTTCTGTAAACCATGATGATGCCATTGAATTCATGTGACATCTAAGGCTCTGTATTTTAAGATTAATGAAATATTAATTCTTTTCATCTCAAAAGGCTCATGTTTCTGTTTGAGGTTTTAGGTTTTATATTTGTATTATACAGGTAGGTGCTTAGGTGAACATGTACTTGTATTCACAAACAAAATTCAATTCTTTAGATTTTCACATTTGAAAAAAACAAAAAAACAATCACAATGACAATAATATATGAAAGAGAAATAGCAAGTATAAAACATAAAAAAATCAAATATGGTGGGATTTGCAAAGGCCTCAGGCCTATTAATGGCAAACCCCATTACTAATAATATAAAATGTCTATATGTACATTTATATGAACAAACAAAGAAATTCACAAAACAAAAACATTATTTTGTAAAGTTTTTTAAAGGCACACAAACTAGTTATCAAATGATAACGATTTGATAACATGTAGTTGCAAGGTAAAAAGGTTTATTACATTATGACAAACTCATTATTCTTCACTATTGTTTTGTGACTTTTGCCCTACATTTATGTCTTGCACAAATCTGTGTACATGTCGTCAACCTGGAACCGTTCCCATTGAAAAGGGGGCAATCTGTTGAGGAACATGCTTTTCTGCAATTCACTGGGCATATCACTTCTCCACTCTCTCATGAAGTGTCGATGGATCGAGGCTTGTTGAATGCCCAAGCACACTCACGATTCTGGAGCCCAATTACAGCGATTACCGATGGTCTTTTTTCCCCTCCTTTTTCTTTCTCCTTTACTCTTCCGTGCTTCTCTCTGTCACGCTTGAGTCTAGTTTTTGCGGGCGTTTGTAGTTTGGGAGATATTGATCGGCTAGGGTGTGGGATAAGATGACATTTGAATGGAGGTGCTATTAAAAGTTTAGCAGGTATGAAAGGGCTTTTATGTTGATGCTACAAGTGTTGTTGGGTAGGCTTGAGGAAAAGATTGTGAAATGTTTGTGACTCCTGACTCGCGACAATGAAAGATGCGTGGGTTTGGTCAGAGGTAGTTTTAACCATGAATATTTAATAATGCTTGCTAGCATGATGCTTTTAATCAGTTGGATACAATATCCTACAGATGAATTTCAAAATGTATCATGCTCATGAGAGGACTGTTTTTTATAATATTATTCAAAGAGAATCTGGCTGTCAGCTCTGAAAATTATTGTCAGATTTTTTGAGAGATTGCTAGCAAGAGATTGACATGTTTCTCTATACTTTCCCTATCTTTAATTAAAAAATCATGATAACTTTCATTTTTGCATACGGTAGTATTTTCATTTTTTTCTTCACATGAAGTGTCAAAAGAAATCGCTTTGATCAAAGTTTAAGAATTACAAAGTTTTTCTCACCACTAAATGATTTTAATTTAATGAGATCTTTTTCAGGTTAATGAGACAGCCAATATTTATTTGATAGTATTTCCATAATCTTGAGACATAGTGATGTGGTTAGTTTTGATAGTTCATCCTTTTCCTATTTCTTTTTTACTTGTTCCCTCAGATTCTGGATCGAGACTCCATCCGTCTCCACCCCACACACCACCAGGTTCCTCCCTGAGACATTCTCCTGCCATCATCGATGATGAAGATGATCCACGCCAATCCCAGAATGCATCTCCCGGTCATATCACCAAGGTTTCCATGCGATCAGCATCCCGCTCGTCAGAACACAACCTCAAAACATGATGGGTCTTCAAGATGGTGTCATCGGGAAGAGGCGAAGCTGACAAGGTGCTGTTAACCCATTCTCCCCTGGATGTGGTAGTTATTGTATTACACCTATGGAATGAGAGAACTCAGCAGTCACAGGATTAAATGACTTTGATATAATTTTGATTTGAACTTCACAGATTGAACTCTTGTTATTCTGGTCCATAATGTAAATCATGGGTCTAATCACATCAGTTAGATGCATGAATGCAACATCCAGACTTTCAACTTTATGAAGGGATATATAGATCGAGAGGGGGAAGGAGGGAGGGAGAGAGAGAGAGGGGGGAGGGAGGGAGGGAGGGAGGGAGGGAGGGAGGGAGGGAGGGAGGGAGGGAGGGAGGGAGGGAGGGAGGGAGGGAGGGAGGGAGGGAGGGAGGGAGGGAGGGAGGGAGGGAGGGAGGGAGGGAGGGAGGGAGGGAGGGAGGGAGGGAGGGAGGGAGGGAGGGAGGGAGAGAGAGAGAGAGACAAGAGGATATGATAAAACCATGAAGTTTCTGTGTGCTCAAGATTTACTGCGTACACACCACACTGCAGTGTGTCAACAATCTTTATACCATGAATGAGGAACTTTATATGGAAAAATAAGAACAAAATCCTTTGCCTTTCAACAACTATCAAAAGCATTGAACAACCTTGCCTCATGAAACATTCAATCGTTGATTAATATTACTCAGAAATTAATAGATCAAACCAGAGGGTAAGCAACTGGGGCTATACCAAAAGCCCACAATTTTTCACCTTGATAAATGTTATACGTAAATGTTCAAGACTGTGTCAATCTGTTGGATACAATTTGAGTTTGGTTTATTATGCATCTTTCATTAGCTCTAGCTCAAGTTATTTTGGGCTTTTTATTCAATAATGATCAATCCAAATCATCAAATTGTTATCTATCATTTCTATTTTCATGGCAATTGCCACAATTACATGTACAATGCACAAGTGTTAATTGGTATACGTGAAAGGCATGTTCAGCTAATTCAAGGATGAAAATGTTGGTCAATTAGATTGTGATTAAAACTCCATCATGTTATGTTCCAAACGAAAAGAGTATATTGTTCAAAGGTTATGTAAGCCTTATGTCTTTCATTGTACAATATGTATATGCAAAAATAAAGTATTCAATATTGCCATGTTGAGAATCCATCCAATTTATTTCCAAAAAAATTGCCTAAGATAAACATATTGATGAGTAATTTAAAATGTACAGGTTGTATATATGTATAAATAGATAAATATAGATGTACAAACTAGTTTCAAGTCTAAGCAAACAGAGGTGATATTTTGATTGATGAATTGATAACTGTAAATGATAATGTTTTCACCTTATAATCAGCTGGGCAGTGTTTCATAAGCTGTCACAAGCTGATAACCCACTGAACACGTGTATTAAATATAACATTCATTTCAGTGGGTTGTCCGTGAAATTGTTTTCATGATGAATTTGTCAAACGACCCATGGTTCTCAAAGGCCACATTAATGTGATAACCTAGTCACACCCCTAAACTGACTCTGAACCGCCAGTTCAATGCCGGGCAATATCATGGCCATTTAGGCTATCGTTGGTCTGGTGTCAGTCTGGCCTTCGTAACCGAGGCATGAGACCCATAGGAGAATATTAAGTCTTTCTGGAGCTAGAAGGGCACTACAATCTCTGAAAGTACAATGCCCTTCTGGCTCTCAGCAGATTATATAATTGCTTTTAATATGATGACAATATGTGATATCTATAATTGAATTTGAGTCTCATGTTCAAAAGTTACAAATTGAACTTTAATTTATGCAAATGTATTTTATCAAATCATGATATATATATTGTGAACAACATGATGTGATCAATGTAGATGAAAGTATTATTAAAACAAAGTAAAAACTATTTCAGTGCATTACAATTCTGTTTTCCTTATTTTGAAAATCGTTGAAATTGTTTCTTTTTCCAGAAAACATTTGGGATATATATTTTTAAACACCTAGTATATCAACATAAACCTATCTTCTAGGTATAACTTAATTTTAATTTCCAAGAGAGACGGGAGAGAAATAGAAAGCGATAGACAGAAGTAGAGAGAGAAAAGAGAAACAGAGAGAGAGAGAGAGAGAGAGAGAGAGGGTGATGAAAAAGTAGTAAAGTAGTAGACTGGTCTTCCTTACGGTCAAGGAAGGATACAACAAACAAGACTTGAGAAATGCTCTCTGCAGGAGAATTGATCATGTTTGTTTTTCCCTTTTAACCTTCATGACGAACTTAGTATGCCCTCCAATCCCCGTAACATAACTTATGACCAGTATTCTATCGTCATGAAATGAATTAGGAGAGTAAAGCGGCAAGGTCATTCTTCAGAGAGTTAATGACCATTAATTGAACACTCATTTCGTTAATGACCTTTGCCTGCCAATCACACATTAATTAAGAAAGAAGCGTTATTACTTTACGTCCCTGAATTATAGGATTTTTTGAAACCTTTCCAATATCACTACGGCAATACTTTTAATGTTGATTAGTAATTATGATTCCATCCCGATGACAACATGATCCTGACAATGCTCACATCGAACGAGGTTGACCCCACTAGCTTTCTGATAAATTTGATATCACATTTTCGGATGAATTTTTTTTTAAAGTGATATTTGAAAGATTGTCAATCGTGCGAATAGGCCCATCTCTCTCTCTGATTGGACACCCACAATCAACTCCACACGAGGTATGAATCCGTCATGCATACGGGATCGTGCGACGGATCTTTTCGCCTAGATGGATAATGATGATTTTAGCGATGTTTGAATAAATTACGAGTTTCCGCTCCAGCCATAAAGCTAATCACGCTTATGAATAACCTGTCAAGGTCCTGTCGGCTTCTATTTACCACCAGTGGTGTAGTAGCGTATAATAGGCCCTGGAAAGATTGGGGAGGGGAGGGGAGGGGGGAGGGGGCACCGGTCTTAATCGCATAAAGAAATACAAATTTACAAGGCTACTCAGTACTGATTACAGGGAGGGTTGGGTATGTAGTCCAGGTGTATCCTCTTCTTTCACTGTTCCCCTTTCCCTATTTTCCTTTCTTTTCTCGGGTTTTCTCACTCGTTTTTCTTCACCACATGATGAGGGGAGGGGTGGCACGTGCCCCCTGTGCCTCCGTCTCCGCCCCCTGTAGCTACGCTACTGTTTACCACGAACGCCACACGAACGCAACCCAAAGATTGTAGACCGCCTTGTTTGTTGTGTCGTTGCAAGGCACTCTTGACAAGTGATTAAACAAAATAGTATACAAATATTCTGTTAATTATGAGTTGAATGAACAGGGTATAGACCTATACATGCACGACAGGAAGGTTTGGGCGCCTGCCCTGATGTACGTGATTGCGTGTAAGAGAGCATCGAGGCTCTAGGTCTATGTATTATAATGTATTTATACCAGCCATGTCTTCTGATAAAAGACATTGAATGTTCTTTCAAGGTGCTCACGACAACAACACAGAACTAGGGTAGGTAAAGATAAGCCGAAGGGGGGAGAGAGAGAGAGGGAGAGAGTAAGCGAGAGAGAGAGAGAGAGAGAGAGAGAGCGACAGAGAGGGAGAGAGAGAGAGAGCAAGAGGTAGAAATACCAAGAAATGTAAGTTAAATTGTAATATAGATTTTTAAAAGATAAAGGTAAACGGGAAAAAATGCGTATATTCTCACCGTGGGATAAGAATAGAAGAACCAAAAGAGAGAGAGAGAGAGAGAGAGTCTAGAAAAATGCGCTTTTTAATTGAGCATATTTCTGCTAGATTGGGTGCGACGATTACAGATAATCTACATAAAGTAATTTGGAAATATTATCAATCTAACGGTGCCCATCCAAAAAACTTACATTTTTTCACTGACTTAGTTTTGAGAATGTAAAACATTTAGAAGTGGTTCTAAACGCGACGATTGTGGTGTTATCACGAGGTTAGGAGTCTTGTTTGAGTTCAGCTAGAGGTAACTATGTTGATCATTATTAAAATGACTAAATTGGTCTCCAGCATTACTTTGATCACAAAGTTACAGTATAACTTTTCCAGTTCTTTTGTTCCAAGTCACCCCGCTTACTGGATGTAATTTTGTCTGCCGAGTGAAAAGGTGACTGAACTTTCCTGAGGGACTAAAAGATGTAGGATGCACTTTACTGAAAGAAAGGATTAATTACGTCTAAAATTTATGAGGCGTGCAGTTTTTGAGTGATCATTTTTGTGTGCATGATCGGATGGTTTAAGCCGGTGATTACAGACAACTGATACATACGCAATTAAAAATAATTGTAATCAGTATAATGCTCTGACTTGTAATCCCTACTCTTTTCATGTGCCGTATCGTGTAAGGTTGAATGCAGTTCGTACTTCCTTGATTTGACCTAAATGGCGTATCAAGCACAAGGGCGGACCGGCCTAAATTTGCCTCACCCTACCCCTCCCTTTGAAGGCCCAGGACGAAATCAATAAATCTCGCAGTGGCCCAAACGAACACGGGGCTGCCCATGCAGATACACCCTCTATCGGTGTATTGGTACGCCACTGCATATTCCTGTCTGCTCGAGTCTTGATGTGAAATGGAATTCTTCTGGCTCCCCTTTGACGATCCAATAACCATTAAAAAATCCTATGCAAAATTGATACAAGATCTGTGACTCTAAACGTTTCTCTACGTTAAAGGTAGTGGGTCGATACATTACCAATCTTCAGGTAGTGTCTACAGGGATGTAGTCAATAGGATTCCGAAATTGTTTCTAAGCGATTTTTATGACAATAAATCAAGGGTGTCCTCAATGTCTAACATGTCAAGAATGAACAATATAGATACAATTTTTCACGCTCTAAAGCGATAGGTATATATCAAAATGTATCTTTATTTTTGTTTTCTATAGGTGTGTAAGGCCATTAGTTTGCCATATTATTGCCTTTAATATATCTTCATGTTATGCGACGATGCGAAGTATTTGTTACCGTATATTCCCGATCATGACACGCCATTTTATCACTTCGGCAATTTTGAATTTCAAATCAATGAAATATTACCTTTAATAAGAGAGAGAATCAAGGGATAGATATCCATCGTGCTTGATTGATTTCCTTCTTTCTCCCAGACACACTGCAGAGCACACGTACATGCGATCGGTCTGATTAAACACAGTTTAGAGGCTCTTCCAACTGCATCAGACCCTGTCTATACTGCATTTTACTTCGACTTTATAGTCCTTGTTTATGAATTTAATAAAGATTATTCTGTATATCCACGCACTCTGAACCGTATGGAAAGCAAACTTTCT